CCTGAAAGATAAGTGGATATAGGAAGTTGTGTTGTTGCGAGCTATCTGGCTGTAAATATCTTTGGATTTCTTCCATTTTGAAATTCTATTTGAACCAAAGATGGAAGATTTTTGAGGGTTATCAACTGATACATAGTGCGATACCCAGTTAAAACAAAAGTATTTATAGTAAGAATAGATACCTTGGATACAGGTAAACTTATCAGCAGTCTCTATCATCTCTTTTTTTTTTCGTTTCATTTAATTGGTCTATGTTATAGTGTTATAGGATAATAAGATGGTTAGAAATCCTTTATTTTTCAACCTAATCGCTCTTTTGACTTCGGAAAAACTTTCTTTATCAATATACTCTTTCTTCTACACACACATCTCCATAATAGAAAATGGTAATAGTTAGGATTCATTAAAAAAATTGAGAATCCACTCATGGGACAGAAACCCTTCCCGCATCAGGCACTAATAAATTTTTAACGTCTAATTAGATCGGGAATCATTCAAATTAAGAACAAAAGCTCGTTGCTTTTTCTTTCCCTATAATTTAATTGAAGCCGCAGCCCTATCCATTTATTCATTCGACCCAACTTTATTTTTGTTCCGTTCCAAGAATTCCTAACACGGTTTTATACCCATCTAGGAACAATGAAATATTTGCAGAACTTTCCGTTGATACGACATGCTATTTTTTACCATTCATTTCCCTTTCAGGATCAGTCGTGGTCTTCCGAACTTTACCGAGTATGGACGAATTCCTCACTTCATCCATATGTGTAAAAGACACTAGCCACACTTAAAAGCCGAGTACTCTACCGTTGAGTTAACGCCCGAAGAAAATATTGAAAATTGTGATCCAATCCGAAAAAAGAAATAAAGAGATTAGACAAGACAACAAAAAACCATTGAAAGAAGAAATCTCAAAAAATACATTCACACTTTCTACTTAATTTAAAATTTAAAACTACTTAATTTAAAACATAAAAAAAATAAAAAAAATAAAAAAAATAAAAAAAATAAAAAAAATAAAAAAAATAAAAAAAATAAAAAAAATAAAAAAAATAAAAAAAATAAAAAAAATAAGAAATTTCAATTGAAAACAATAAAAAGATAAAAAAAAAAAAGGACTTGTGTTGGATTGGCACTACAAATCGGAATCCAAATAAAATAGACACAAAAAGTATAATGGGAGGAATAAATAAAGAATAAGTGGAAAACAAACTACAATTTACTTGGGTTATTGAATCCATAATGGATTCAATCAAGGTTAAGTGAGATAAGCAAACTTGATTTCTTTTGGCTTTAGTAGAGTTCCAATGAAAAACGGAAAACCACCCAGGTGAAGGAAATGTCCGAATTTTTGTTTGAAGATCAATAAAATCAGAGGTTTTGTCATAGAACACGGAATTCAATGGAAGCAATGATAAATAAATACAAATAGAAAAGGAAAGGGAGGAATACAAAAAAATAGAGAAAAGTCATACAAAGTTATACAAATCACTACCCCTTTTTGTATTTCCTTAATTTATTTCCTTAATTGAATTTCGGTTGATTAGGACGAAGTTCCTTAAAAACCTCCGCCTTCTTTAAATATCCTGAACAGTTCCTGTAGGTTGAGCCCCTTTTTTTTTCGGGAAATATATAAAATAGCAGGAACATTTAAATAAGTTTGATTCTTTATCGGATCATAAAAACCCACTTTCGAATCTTTTCCTTCTCTTCGGGATCGAACATCAATTGCAACGATTCGATAGACGGCTCATTGGGATAGATGTAGATGAACAACACCCCCTAAACATATAGGCTTTCTCCTCGTACGGCTCGAGAAAAATGATGATTGATTCGAGGTTTTGTCTCTGTATGGAATTCTATCTAAGAAATGACAACTGGGTCCATAAAATGATCAAATCAATTAAAGATGTAATGTAAATCTTTTCTTCTTTCTTCCTGAAAATGAAAAGCCATTCAACACTCTCTCATAACTCAAGTTGGATAACTTTCAAACAGTTCAAAAGAGGAAAACCTTTTTGGCAATTTCATTTATTGAGTGGTCTTTCCTCCTTTTTGTTTGTCTCGTTTAAAATCGATTTGGATTCTTCAGTCTGATTGATTATTAAGACAATTTAAAAGGTGTTTCCTTGTTCTGGGATCCTTTATCTTTGTTTTATTTTAAATCATTAGGTTTAGACATTACTTCAGTGCTTTTTAATCCTTTCAAAATGGCAGCAACATACCACTATTTGTGATTTCTATGAAAGAATCCACCACAAGGATGGATTCCCGCGTGAAACACTTTGGATCGAAAAGTTTGATCAATTCCAAGAAATTTTGAATTTGAAACTTGCTAGAATTGGATTCTTTCATTCCATACCGAAGATATATTTACAAAGTTGTTTCAATTTTTTTTATTGATTGGCATTAACCCTAGACCTTGCCCCGAGAAATAAATTAATACTTTCTACTCGAGCTCCATCATGGACTATTTACATTCCAAGACAACAAGCAGGGTTCCGTGAAACAGAACCAATGATGTCGAGCAAACACCTTCATTCCTACATAAAATGGTGGATGTACAAATCCACAACGGATCGTGTCCCTTCAAGTCGCACGTTGCTCTACCACATCGTTTCAAACGAAGTTTTACCATAACATTCCTCTAAGAACCGGTATGGAATTGATTCCAATTATGGAATTATGAATAGTCATTGGTTGGGCTGATGTATAAACACCTAATCTATATTATTTTCTATATCTTCTATATATGAAAATAATGAAAAACTATAGATATAGGTGGATAAAGATTTTTCTGAAGAAATCGTAGTAAGACCCCATCGCTAATATTAATTTGTCTAACATATTAATTAATATATATATAATAAATAATTTTTTTATATAAATACTAAATAATAATAAATAAGACGAATAAATGAATTCTTTTTGATTCTGCATCTTCACGTGACTTAATAGGAGAGATTGACCTATTTCATACTTCTTCAAATAGCAAAGATTCAGCTTCTAAGGAATGATTAAAACGATTTCTCTTTCGAAATTTCGAAATTTCGAAAGTTCCCTTTTCGACATCCATTATTAAAAGAAAATTTGATAGTTAAAAAAAACTTTTGATCATCTTAGGAAAAAAGATAAGTCTTTTTTTTTTAATTGAATCATCAACGATTAACATTTTTTTTATGAGATTGATAAAAGATTAATGTAAGAGTAAGATTTTATCTTATTCTTTTTTTCATCTGATTGATAAAATCAACGAATGAGGAGGGTTTCGTATCTATCAATTCGATCAAATAGACCGAGCAGTTGTCACCGTGTATAGATATTGAAATGAACGCCTTCCCATTACTGATTAACTCCTATCTACCCCATTCTATGGGACTGATGCAACATAAATCGAAAGAAAAGAAGGGGGTGTCCTGGTCTTTTTATATTTACGAAATGCGAGCTGTCTAGGCACAAAGCCAAACAAGTCCAGATTAAGTCAAGTTTTGCTCCTTTTTTTTGATATTATTAGCCCCAACTTTGATTAAGAATTAAGAGCTTAGTGAATTTAATTAGTACCAAAAAAGCCCCCTCTTGGCGAAAGTCCAAGAAATCCACAAAAAATAAAATTGAATCCTAATTAGGCTAATTTGAAATTTAGAGAGTACGAGATAGGGAATATGGATTCTTTCGCATCTCGATTCTGTTTTTGAAAAAAAAAAAACGATTCAGCGAAGAAAAAAATCAGAAACAACAATCACATTCCAGCTAAAATTTCGATTTTAAACAGAACATTGTTAAAAAAGCAATCTGTATTCTCATAGAATATATATGGTCTGGGACGGAAGGATTCGAACCTCCGAATAGCGGGACCAAAAAACCCGTTGCCCTTACCATGGCCACCCATTTAGATTTCTATGCGATACGAATTACTAATAAAGTATATTGCTGGTTTTGTTTGTTTGTCAACTCTAGTCCAAATATCTATCGCATAGATTAGATTGGTACTAGGATTTTGCTATGTTTTTGGTATGTGTAGATTTAGAATTCAACTTAATTTATTGATCGTACATATAATTCAATTAAGATATTGTATGAAAATATGATTTTTCGATTCTCCTTTTCTCAAGGAGGATTTTGATTAGTGGGTTCGAAAAGAAGGATTTTTTGTTTTCCTTACTTACTTTCCTTTTCCTTATATCATAACTCAATCAAAATGCAATTATCTCCAAACACAAAGTCTATTATGCTTAATACCTTTAGTTTGATCGGTATCTGTCTTAATTCGACCCTTTATTCGAATAGTTTTTCTTCGGCAAATTGCCCGAGGCCTATGCTTTTTTTGAATCCAATCGTAGATATTATGCCAGTCATACCTCTGTGCTTTTTCTCTTAGCCTTTGTTTGGCAAGCTGCTGTAAGTTTTCGATGATATCATAATAATATCCTAGAAAATTCATGATTTATTCGAGAAAAAATTCGAAAATAAATAAAATCAGATAAGCTTTACCGTTTGAAACCTCGATTCAAACATTGAAATTCTTGGATAGTCACGAGAAATCCGGCTGCTTATTTCATATTTTTGGCGCTTTCCTTTCCAGTGAAAGACCTTATTAGGCTCCTCTTGTGTATATAAAAATTTGGTTAATGACAAACTCTTGGCCGAAACGAATTTCTTAAAATCCTTTTAGAGAAAGAGCTTCGTTGCTTGGTGTCAAATTAGGATATGCGGTAGAAAAATGGATGATCTATTCTCTTTTTTTCAAAAAATCATCTTGGAGATTGTGTAATGCTTACTCTCAAACTCTTCGTTTACACAGTAGTGATATTTTTGTTTCTCTCTTTTCTCTTTGGATTCCTATCTAATGATCCCGGACGTAATCCTGGACGTGAAGAATAAAATAAAAAGGTTTTCCTTGCTTGATTTTCAAATTTTCTTAGGATTTGGTCTATTCCACACATTTAACTAAGAATAAGAACAAAGAATTTCGAAATTTGAAAAAAAAATCAAGTCATCAACGGAAAGAGGGATTCGAACCCTCAATTTGATTAACTCGTACAACGGATTAGCAATCCGCCGCTTTGATCCACTCAGCCATCTCTCCCAATTGAAAAATATAATTACTATGAGATAGCACATAAGATAAGGGAAAGAATCTTTCTTTCTCTCTTTTTCTTCTTTCTATATTATATAGATATGTACAACTTTTATCATCAATTTCCTTTATCTCTTTATCTAAAGTAAAGAAGGGGCTCAGAAAGAGCCAAGAATATCGAAAATAAAGAAGACCTCTTTTCTTTGTCTTGATTTTGTTCGAAAGGACCCTCTTATTCTCATGGCCTGGTCTGGTGGTACCCAGCCGGGCACTCTTTTATTCCAACGAATTTGAATTTGCAAACCAAAATGCCTATTATAGTTGTAATATTTCATTTTAATTGAATAGTTAATATTCAAGCAACAAGAAAAAATTCCCATTTTTTATAAAAGTAAAATAAAATATATGAAATAGAAAATTCGATCAAATAAAGTCTCATTCTCTTTCTGCTTTTGATTTTATGTTTACCGCCTTGATGGACTAAAAAGAAGCTTCGGGTATTCCACAATGCATTTTTATGTTTTGATTTTGAGTAGGTTTGACGACCCTATCTTATCCTATCTTGATTACCACAATTCCCCTGTTCGACAAAAGTTGCATTTGTATACAATAATCGGATTGTAGCGGGTATAGTTTAGTGGTAAAAGTGTGATTCGTGCTATCACAAATAGTTAAAGGGTCCTTCGGTTTGATTCGTATTCCGATCAAAACTTTATTTCTTAAAAGGATTTAATCCTTTTCCTCTCAATGAAAGATTCGAGAACAAATACACATTCTCGTGATTTGTATCCAAGGGTCACTAAGACATTAACAAATTGGATTATGAAATTGCGAAACATAATTTTGAATTGGATAAATACTCCAATTGGATAAGTATGAATAAAGGATCCATGGACAAAGACAGAAAGTTGATTTCTAATCTGTAACGAATCTTCAATTTCTTATTTGTAAAAAGAAAGTGAAGCAAGTAGTATTAGGCATTGATGATGACTTTGGTTTACTAGACATCAACATATTATATTGTTTTAGCTCGGTGGAAACAAATCCTTTTCCTCAGGATCCTATTAACTAGAAATAGAGAACGAAATAACTAGAAAGGTTGTTAGAATCCCCCTCTTCTCGAAGGATCATCTACAAAGCTATTCGGTTTATCTGTATTCCGACCAAAAGCTGACATAGATGTTATGGGTAGAATTCTTTTTTTCTAATTTTGTTCACATCTTAGATCTATAAATTGACTCATCTCCATAAAGGAGCCGAATGAAACCAAAGTTTCATGTTCGGTTTTTAATTAGAGACGTTCAAAATAATGAATCGACGTCGACTATAACCCTAGCCTTCCAAGCTAACGATGCGGTTCGATTCCCGCTACCTTTCTATATCTATTTATTCTAAATATTTTAATCTACTCATTAAATCAAATTTAGTTTATTAGTACATCATTGAATATACAATTCCAAAATTTCTTTCACATCCGATTCTTTCTGTTTTTTCAAACAAAAGTGAAAATACGAAAAAAAATCAGAATGAAAAGCGTCCATTGTCTAATGGATAGGACATAGGTCTTCTAAACCTTTGGTATAGGTTCAAATCCTATTGGACGCAATTTATTTCCATATATATATATTTTTAGATTTCGATAGCAAGAAAGACTGTTTGAATATTTGAATCCAAGATGCTTAATTCCTTTTTTATTAAGACAAAAGTGATCAATATTTCTTTATGCTTGCTCCTGAAGTATAAAACGTTCCATTTTTTCCTGAAGAGCTTCTTTCAAAGAGCTTCTGCTTCCTTAGTAAATATCTTGGTAGAAGATATGATTTCTTGGAACTGAGGTTTATTAGTTTTTAAGTAAGTACGTAGCTCAACCAAGAAATTTCCTTACCTGTCCAACTTCTAATGAATCAAGATAGCCGTTTGTTCCGGTATAAATAGTCATTATCTGCTCTTCTACCGTGAGAGGAGCTGATTGGGATTGTTTAAGCAATTCACGTAATCGTTGACCTCTTGCCAATTGATTCTGAGTAGCTTTATCGAGATCAGAAGCAAATTGTGCAAAGGCTTCCTAATTCTGCAATTGCGCTAGTTCTAATTTTAATTTACCAGCTACCTGTTTCATGGCTTTTATTTGAGCTGCGGACCCCACTCTGGAAACGGAGATACCCACATTAATAGCAGGTCTGATTCAGAATTGAATCAGGTCGGCGGATAAGAAAGATTTGTCCATCGGTAATGGAAATTACATTAGTAGGAATATAAGCCGGTATCTACTCCCGATTGAGTTTCGACTATTGGTAAGGCGGTCATGCTTCCTTCACCTAAACTAGAACTTAATTTCGCGGCTCTTTCCAAAAGGCGTGAATGCAAATAAAAAACATCTCCTGGATAAGCTTCACGACCGGGCGGTCTTCGTAATAGAAGAGACATTTGGCGATAAGCTTGCGCTTGTTTGGAGAGATCATCATAAATGATTAAAGTGTGTCGTTCACGATACGCAAAATATTCAGCCAGAGCGGCTCCTGTATAAGGAGCAAGGTATTGTAATGTAGCAGGGAATCTGCCGTTTCGGCGACCACAATAGTGTATTCCATTGCTCCCCTTTCCTGTAAAGTAGTTACTACCTGGGCCACAGAAGATGCTTTTTGCCCAATAGCTACATAAACACATATATTACATTTTGACCTTGTTGATTAAGAATCGTATCTGTGGCTACTGCTGTTTTACCGGTCTGTCTGTCCCCAATAATTAGTTCTCGCTGACCACGTCCTATAGGGATCATCGAATCAATAGCACTAAGCCCGGTTTGAAGAGGCTCGCCTTACGGAACGGCGCGAAATAATACCCGAGGCGGCAGATTCAATTAATCGGAAATTCAGAAATGGTACCACCTCTACCATCAATAGGTTTCGCCAGCGCATTTTACAACACGACCCAAATAAGCCTCACTGACAGGTATCTGAGCAATTCTTCCGTTGCTTTTACAGAACTTCCTTCTTGTATCAACAAACCATCGCCCATTAATACAACACCAACATTATTTGATTCCAAATTAAGAGCACTGCCTATTGTACCCTCTTCAAATTCTACTAATTCCCCCCGCCATTACTTCATCAAGACCGTGAATACGAGCAATGCCATCGCCTACTTGAAGTACGATACCGGTATTTACAATCTTTACTTCTCTATTATATTGTTCAATACGTTCACGGATAATATTACTAATTTCGTCAGCTCGAATGGTTACCATGATTCTTTCTTTATTCTTTTTGAAAGAAAAAAATAATACCTACAGTAGAAAGACTAATCCAGTTATTTCTTTCATTGTTCCCAACATGCCAATATTAGCACTAATGGTACGTAAATGTAACTCGTTGTTCAAACAACTATTCAGGTTCCTAGAGCTCCTCGTAAGCTTGTTGGAAAACCCGTTGTCGGACTTGATTAATTGCCCTTTGCTGTTCAAACTGAATCGTTTCGTTTTGTAATTTTCTAATTGTTCCAAAGTCTTATAAGTTGAATTAATCAAATTCAATTTTTCTCGTTCTATCTCGGGTATCCATTCACTCGAAACTGCTCGGCTTCGGTTTCTACTTTCCGTAAGCGAGAACGAGCTTTTTCCCGAGTTGTTCCAATAACCCCTCCGTAGTTCTTCTGAATTTCGAATAGTATTCAAGATCCTCTGTTTTCGATTATCTAATAAATCACTTAATGAAAGTAGATTATTTTTCCATTCCTTTACAAAATTCCATAATCCCTTCCCGAACCAAACATGAATCTTTCGATTCATTTGGCTCTCACGCTCAATTACTTAATTACTTAAGGTAAATTCTCATATCTTTTTTTATGAATGTGTAGGCCTATCTTCTCTTCTTTGTTCATATTCCAAAAAGTATCGAAACTAATGTAAGACCAAAATATTCGGAGGACTCTTCTGACAAAATAAAAAATATGTAATTGTCAGCAAAGTTGTTTCTTTTTTTCAAATCCAAAAAGCTCTTCTTACTTAGAATAGGTCGTGATTCAGCATTAGATAAAGGGGGTAAAATCCCTGTTTTTGCAATTTACAATAAGCAGTTCAAATCATTTTATCAATATGAGTATCCTATATCGATAAAATATTTATTTTGAAACCACCTCTATATTAACATAGTGGTAGAAAGAGTACCATGCTGCGTCTCGACTTCAAACAGTTTGTTTTAATCATGTTAATAGTTTCACATTATTGGTTAATAGAGAATCAAAATCGGTTACCAATGAATCGCGAAATGCTATGGTTCTTACATATAATTTCTGAATTTATGCAAGGTAATTCGCGAGATCATGCACCTCTCTTTCCTACTTATAACGTAAAGGGTACAGCTGGTTGGTCCAGCCTATTCTTGAAATAAACAACTCGCACACACTCCCTTTCCAAAAATCAATACACAAGCACTACTTAGATTTATTGGATTTGTTGCTAAAATATCGGTATTAAACCCGAAACTCCCGGCAGATGGCCAGTGGCCCAAAGAAACGAAAGAATCGGTTACGTTTTTCATATGATCTCCTCTTATAGATAGACTAAAAAATCGAACAGAGTTCTTTTTGTAGCACTTCGCCCCTCTTTTTATTTATTCTTTTATGTTTTCTGAAATTGGTAAAAAAAATAAAAAATATTCGAGTTAGTTATAAATTATGAACTAATGAACTAGCCCTTTTATTGGTTATTGGAACACTAACACTTACTAAAAAGAGTTTCCCTTGGTCTATGAACGGGAAGGATGAAAGGTGAGTCAGTATGCTAATTCCTCATCCGCAAATCAGCCCTTCCCGTAGGTTCTTTTCTCAAAGAATAAAGAATTAGAGGAGGGAAATCTTGATAGAATTTGAAAAAGCAAACGACAAGTCGAAGGCAATAAAATATGAAAAATGTATTTATTTTCATATTTCTAAGCTAAGATTAAACAAAAGGATTTGCAAATAAAGTGCTAATGCTACAACCAGTCCATAAATTGTTAAAGCTTCCATAAG